ACAGTTGGAAGGTATGACTTTGGCTTGGTTACCACTTGAAAACCATTTGACACAGAACTTTGGAATAGCATCAATCCATTTTGGCACTTTAAGTACTACAGCAAGCTGTCATGTGTATGTTACTTGTGCCCCTTGTAATTATGATTTCAAATTCACGTATGCTGACTATTCTTTAAAAATAATAAACCAACAAGATCATAGTTAATGATGCAACTAATGCACCATAGGTTTGTACAATTGTATGCTTTAATTTAATATTTTAAAATGATTTAATATGTTTGGATAAAGTTTTTAAATGATTACATGAATGAAAATATTGACAATATATTATTTATAAAAAAAAATATCAATATACCAAAAACTTGAAAATGTTAATATTTTTCATAATATTAAATCATTCTAAATGTTTATCCAAAAATCATAAACCATTTGGAAAGCTTATCCAACAATATTAAATCTATGGAGGTGTAATAAAGTAACAGATGCCAGTATGTATGATAGGTGCAGCATCAGTTCTGTACGCATTTGTAAGTCATAAACAAAGTCTACATATCTTTATGATCCCCTTATATTTACTGCTATTCATTTACAACTGCATTGCTTGTTTAAATGATAAAAAAAAATTAACTAAGAAGTACCATTTTTCACTTCGAGGTTATGACAGTAATGCAGTATGATTACTCTTAATGATTAACACTGCGATCTTGTTCCTATTCTCGCATTCCAGTGAGGATTCGAAAGAAACATGAAACAGGCATTTCTTAGTAAATTCTTTTAACTCCTTCTTGGCAAATGATAAGGCTTTGTTACACGACTGTTTTGCCAAATCATGGTTTATTTTCACTTGCCAATAACTACTGGATGAGTGGAAATTTTGAGACTTGCACATCATATCATTTCATTTTGTACTGATACACAGCATATTGAACCTCTGTTCTACTGAGTTTCTCAGCCCATCAGATTGACAAGAAAACCTGTGCAATTTTAGCAGGCGCCCCAACCATCAAGATTTCATCAGGGCAGTCCCTGCTTTAGAATGCACTTAAACTGTCCCGTTTTGTCATGCCTAGGGCAGCACAAAACCAGGATACACCACTGAGTGGAACGCACACTGAAACACACGCCGTTCTCACCGGCGGTCGGAAATCCAGAGGACGACTTCTTCACCGGTATCCTCAGCCATCACAGTTGGAAATTAAGGTTTTATTGCCCTTTTTACCTACAATAGACTGGTTACACTCTTGTGCATAGATATCACCTTCATTAATTTTTTACTTTTAAATAATAAACTGGTTGTTTTAATCCCAGTTTGTTCTTACTTTTATTATCATTTTTGTGGTTTTAGCGATATACTATTTATATTGCCTATAGCAACCAGTTCCATATACTGGTGTGCTTCATTTAAAGTGAACTTAAGTATTATCTTTTATTCTTATGAAAGTATATTATTTTGGCACTGGTACCACCCACCCTGTATTGCTTCCTCCAATCAGGGATTAGGATACCTATACCATAAATATCTCAGTTGGTCACCATAGTAGTATCTACCTATATATCATCATTCTTTATGTGAAAGTGTATACCGCACGGTATTTACAAAAGTTTTCTACACAGCTCCATAATGTTTTTACAGGATTTGGTGAAATTCCTATATCCCTCCAGTTAGAGCTATTTTCATTTGTCTCACTCCCTCTTCTTTCTGTATATTCAAAGTATTTTGGATATCAGAAAACTTTTTGGCTTGATACCGTTAAGTGTTAAATGCATTTTTTTTTTGCTGTCATGAAATTGTATCTACCTTTTAAGAAAACATATTACCAACATTGTATTTATAAGGTAAGGTAAGAACAAATGCTGGAGAGGTGTTGCACCTGATCAGATTGTGTATTTTGTCGAAGTCCTTTTCATTTTCCCTGTACACCTTCTACAATGGAATTTACATTATTAAAATACTCAGGCTTCTGATACAACTACTCAACATTTTACTAACATCCAAAGTTTTATATAACTGAGATATATTTTGTAAATTAAAAATATAGATTAGGCATGGCTGTACATTTGTGTGAAAGTTGAAACATTTTCTACTGGGCAGATTTATTTCTGCTTGTGTTCATGTGACTCGAACAGAAGGCACTGATAGGTTGCAAAAATTTCTGCGCAATATATGTTGCTAAAAGTACTCTGGAACTAGATTTATCTGTTAAATGTTCTTTGTTTAATATGCCGGATCGGATTTTGTGCTCACTAATCAATGCTAATATTGCCCTTGCACTGACAAAATTAACATTGGGCATTTGGACCTTGAAGAATAAACCTGTTAAAAAATTTTAAAAAAAAATCAAACAAACATTCCAGCCAAGCACTGCTTCCCACTGAGAAATACATGTTAACACCAGAGATTTAGAGTGGCTGCTAACAGCTTACACAAGGCTTGTGAGATAAAGCTCAAGAGCTATATAGGACAGGGCAGAGTACACTGGAAATTGTGAAAAAAAAAAGATAAGATCGGATTTCTTTTGTTTGTCTTGAGACTGTTTATGTGGGCTCCCAGTGTGAAATGATATGCGTGTAGGAAAGATAAAGCTATACTTGGCTGTGGGAGGCCATCACTTGGTAGGATTGAAAGGAATTCGGAACAAATTATTGCCTGCCTATTTGTATGAATTAAATGGAGATATGCTTGTCAAATAATTTGGGGTGATAACGTTATTAAAATAGAATTTTACTGTGAGAAGGTCCCAAGGTCTAAACAACAAACTGGGAGTGGTTAAGATAGATAGAACAGTGAATTACATTTTTTATGCCAAAATCACTGAAATAAAAAAATTCTACAACTCGGCTGTTTCTAGCTCACCTATTTCTTATAGCTTGGCTGTTTATTCCTAAAATGTTAAATTCATTTCTCGGTTCAGCAAGTAACTTTGCCTGTGTGATACCTGTCGGAGTCAGACATGGCTAAATGTAACCTTTCCAACGTATTTCTTATTTTGAGGTTCCCCAAGGCACAGACACGCTGACATATGATTTCACTCTCTCCACTTCCATTCTGCAGGTTCCTCCACACAACATTTTCACAGTGTTAGTGAGACACAGACATCATATCTCTCTATCATCGTTTCCTCCTCCTCTCTGACAATTTGTACTTTTTGTTGAGTTTTTTTACTCCATCCGCCTACACTGGCGGGGCCTTCTTTACCTTGTGTCTGTTAATATTATCTTTACCGGTCAATTACATGTTAATAAGTATTCTTTTTGCATAATTGTACAGCAGTCTGGAAAATAATGGCTCTATATAAATGCTAATAACAGGAACGGACTGACAGCCTTCTGGGCCCCTGGGCAAAATAACCTATTGGATCCCTTACACCAGTAATATACATACATACATACACACACACACACACACATATATATATATATACAAACTCACTACAAACATCTAACTACACTCAAACTCACCCAGTTTACTATAGACAGCTCACTGGCATATACACACAAGCTCACTCACACAGTTTGCTACAGAAAGCTCACTGACACACACACAAGCTCACTGACACAAACATAAGCTCACTACACACAAGCTAACTGACATATACACACAAGCTTACACGGCTCACTACAGGCAGTCACAATGTCACTACACACAAGCTCACTAAACACCCCCACACTCGCTAAATACAAGCTCACGACACACATAAGCTCACTGACACACACAAGCTCACTAAACACACACGCTTACTAAACACAAGCTCACTAAACACACACACAAGCTCACTGAACACAAGCTCACTAAACACACATAAGCTCACTAAACACCAGCTTACTGACACATAAACTCACTAAACACAAGCTCATTGACACACACACACACGCAATCTCACAACATGCACACAGAAGGTCACTAGCACACCAGATCACTAAACACAAGCTCACTACATGCACACGAAAGGTCACTAGCACACAAGATCACTTATCACAAGCTCACTACATGCACACAGAAGGTCACCAGCTCACAGGATCACCAAACACAAGCTCACTACATGCACACAGAAGGTCACTAGCACACAGGATCACAAAACACAAGCTCACTACATGCACACAGGTGGTCACTAGCACACAGGATCACTAAACACAAGCTCACTACATGCACACAGAAGGTCACTAGCACACAGGATCACCAAACATAAGCTCACTACATGCACATAGAAGGTCACAAGCACATAGGATCACAAAACACAAGCTCACTACATGCACACAGGTGGTCACAAGCACACAGGATCGCTAAAAACAGGCTCACTACATGCACACAGGATTGCTAAACACAAGCTCGGTACATGCACACAGAAGGTAACTAGCACACAGGATCGCTAAAAACAAGTTCACTACATGCACACAGAAGGTCACAAGCACACAGGATCGCTAAAAACAAGCTCGCTACATGCACACAGAAGGTCACTAGCACACTGGATCTCTAAGCACAAGCTCGCTACATGCACACAGAAGGTCACTAGCACACAGAATCGCTAAACACAAGCTCGATACATGCACACAGAAGTCACTAGCACACAGGATCGCTAAAAACAAGCTTGCTACATGCACACAGAAGGTCACAAGCACACAGGATCGCTAAACACAAGCTCGCTACATGCAGACAGAAGATCACTAGCACAAAGGATTGCTAAACACAAGCTTGCTACATGCACACAGAAGGTCACTAGTACACAGGATCGCTAAACACAAGCTCGCTACATGTGCTAAACACAAGCTCGCTACATGCATGTAGCGAGCTTGTTTTTAGCGATCATGTGTGCTTGTGACCTTCTGTGTGCATGTAGTGAACTTGTTTTTAGTGATCCTGTGTGCTAGTTACCTTCTGTGTGCATGTAGCGAGCTTGTGTTTAGCGATCCTGTGTGCATGTAGTGAGCCTGTTTTTGCGATCCTGTGTGCTTGTGACCACCTGTGTGCATGTAGTGAGCTTGTGTTTTGTGATCCTATGTGCTTGTGACCTTCTGTGTGCATGTAGTGAGCTTGTGTTTGGTGATCCTGTGTGCTAGTGACCTTCTGTGTGCTAGAAGGTCACTAGCACACAGGATCGCTAAACACAAGCACACAACATGCACACAGAAGCATAGGCGTGCGCACGTGGTGTGCCGGGTGTGCCTGGGCACACCCTAATCCCCGCGGCACACCTATGGATTGAGTCCTGCAGGAACGCGAGGAAACGGCGTTCCTGCACTTTTTTTTGAGCAGGAATGCCATTCCCGCTGTTCCTGCAGGAACATGAGGGGGGCCAAGAGGTGATGCACCCCCCGCCCCCCGTCAGGCGCCTGTCTCTATATCAGACGCGGTGAGAGAGCTGTGTCCTCTCTGCTCCCTCTCGCGGCGCAAGGGTACAGAGAGGACCCAGCTCTCTCGCGTCTGATATGGAGACAGGCGCCGGACTCACTGGACCCCAAGGACATGTCCACGCCAGCTCTCCAGGTAGGGAGAAAAAATTGTGAGTGTGTCTGAGTATGTGTGTACAGGGAGTGCAGAATTATTAGGCAAGTTGTATTTTTGAGGATTAATTTTATTATTGAACAACAACCATGTTCTCAATGAACCCAAAAAACTAATTAATATCAAAGTTGAATATTTTTGGAAGTAGTTTTTAGTTTGTTTTTAGTTATAGCTATGTTAGGGGGATATCTGTGTGTGCAGGTGACTATTACTGTGCATAATTATTAGGCAACTTAACAAAAAACAAATATATACCCATTTCAATTATTTATTATTACCAGTGAAACCAATATAACATCTCAACATTCACAAATATACATTTCTGACATTCAAAAACAAAACAAAAACAAATCAGTGACCAATATAGCCACCTTTCTTTGCAAGGACACTCAAAAGCCTGCCATCCATGGATTCTGTCAGTGTTTTGATCTGTTCACCATCAACATTGCGTGCAGCAGCAACCACAGCCTCCCAGACACTGTTCAGATAGGTGTACTGTTTTCCCTCCTTGTAAATCTCACATTTGATGATGGACCACAGGTTCTCAATGGGGTTCAGATCAGGTGAACAAGGAGGCCATGTCATTAGATTTTCTTCTTTTATACCCTTTCTTGCCAGCCACGCTGTGGAGTACTTGGACGCGTGTGATGGAGCATTGTCCTGCATGAAAATCATGTTCTTGAAGGATGCAGACTTCTTCCTGTACCACTGCTTGAAGAAGGTGTCTTCCAGGAACTGGCAGTAGGACTGGGAGTTGAGCTTGACTCCATCCTCAACCCGAAAAGGCCCCACAAGCTCATCTTTGATGATACCAGCCCAAACCAGTACTCCACCTCCACCTTGCTGGCGTCTGAGTCGGACTGGAGCTCTCTGCCCTTTACCAATCCAGCCACGGGCCCATCCATCTGGCCCATCAAGACTCACTCTCATTTCATCAGTCCATAAAACCTTAGAAAAATCAGTCTTGAGATATTTCTTGGCCCAGTCTTGACGTTTCAGCTTGTGTGTCTTGTTCAGTGGTGGTCGTCTTTCAGCCTTTCTTACCTTGGCCATGTCTCTGAGTATTGCACACCTTGTGCTTTTGGGCACTCCAGTGATGTTGCAGCTCTGAAATATGGCCAAACTGGTGGCAAGTGGCATCGTGGCAGCTGCACGCTTGACTTTTCTCAGTTCATGGGCAGTTATTTTGCGCCTTGGTTTTTCCACACGCTTCTTGCGACCCTGTTGACTATTTTGAATGAAACGCTTGATTGTTCGATGATCACGCTTCAGAAGCTTTGCAATTTTAAGAGTGCTGCATCCCTCTGCAAGATATCTCACTATTTTGACTTTTCTGAGCCTGTCAAGTCCTTCTTTTGACCCATTTTGCCAAAGGAAAGGAAGTTGCCTAATAATTATGCACACCTGATATAGGGTGTTGATGTCATTAGACCACACCCCTTCTCATTACAGAGATGCACATCACCTAATATGCTTAATTGGTAGTAGGCTTTCGAGCCTATACAGCTTGGAGTAAGACAACATGCATAAAGAGGATGATGTGGTCAAAATACTCATTTGCCTAATAATTCTGCACTCCCTGTATCTGTGAGTGTGTGTGTGTCTGTGAATGTGTGTCTGAGTATGTGTGTCAGTGTGTGTGTGCACGCGTATATATATATATATATATATAGTAAAAATGAAAATCCAGCGCACTCCCTTATCTACTAAACGGCTACTTTGGTGCTGACAGATATTGCTAGTTATATTAAAAACACCTAATCTAGGTAAAAAAAATGGGGGTCCTACTCTTACAACCAACTGTCTACTAAATGAGCTACTCACTTGGGGAAATCCTTCCATCTCTGCAGTACAAGGCTAAATAGGGTCCTGAGATGAGGCACCTGTGACAGGGAGGGGTGCAAAACCAAGGAGCTGGCTAGACTCCTAAATATATATATGGGAAAACAAGGGACTAGCTGCACTCACCTGAACATGCTTAAATGGGGTGCTGCTGGGGGCCAATAAGTACAGTAAAAATGAAAATCCAGCTTGTCTCACAGATTGTTAAATTGACTGTTTTACATAACGCTGGGCAGCCAGCCAGGCCACAGCAGCTCCGGGCCCGATGTGCCCGAGTGGTCAGTCCGCCCCTGGCTAATAATAGTAATAATACTAGAGTGGAGGGTTTTTTTTAAGTTGCAAGATGTTGCACATCACGGGATGATATTGCTTAACCAAAAAAAACATATATTGACTCAAAAGTGTCAATGTGCCAGCTGGTTTCCATGGTTATTTATCCACTTTTTGTACCGTAGACCACTTTTTTAGAACAAAACATTTTGATAAATCTTTCCAATAAATGTCACGACTGCTGACCCTCTCACTTTAACTTCCGTTACCCTTCCTACCCAATAACTCACATACAACCAAATTGTGGGTTAGGGCAACGGCCGCAGCTTTTATTATTAAGCCAGCATAACTTAAACCAACTGTCAGCTGCTGGATTTTCCCAGCAGACAGCTAACATAACTTAATTCTTCCAGAGCCTCTTCAGCCTGAAGTCCATCCTCAACCAGACCAGGCTGCCACTCCCCAAGCCCATCCGGGCACTGCTTTCAGTTCCGCTTGCTGTCAAAGGACAAACCGCCACTGCAGCCTCTCCCCTATCCCTGGAGAGGACTGCATCCCCCCGAAGCCAGCGCCTGTTCAATGGCTGACTGTAATCCCAAATTAAATATATCCAACCCAATTTCGTTTAGGTGGACCCCATCAGCCCTCATTAAGTTTGAGTTGTTCCCTTCCAGCTCCACATGACGAGCCACAAAGCCACCCAGCCTACGCACAAAACATGAAATCGTCATGTTGAACCATCGCCTGCCGCACTCCACCGCCCTGGCGTGTGGCAGCGCCCCCAAAGCCGGCCGAGGAATGACTTCAGACCACACCAGTGTGACCTCGCTGAAAAGCGCCATACAGCAAGCCAAGTCATGCTTGCAAGCATAAATCAAATCCACTGGACGGCACCGTCCCAAGTCATTCCCCCCGGCATGAAGCACCAGAACCACTGACCCGGACACTCCGGATACACTTGGTGCCACCCCAAACCCCGTATCCCCCGCCATCGAACCCTAACCTGCTCATGCGGGAACCCTAGATTCCAGCCGTATGGTCTCTGCGCGGCACGCCTAGCCGCCCAATAAATAAAGGAGTGACCGATGATCCAAACATACCGGGGGGAACCTGTAGAGAAAAACAACACATTATAACCACCAAAAGCCTATAACAGGTGAGGACGAATATACAACTGAAACCTACGGGAATCCCATCGACCTATGCTCTGAATTGCAGCATTGGACAGCCCTACCTGCCGCGCTTGCGTTGCTGCACCAATCCGATAGGAGTGGGGAGAGTATCCCTTATCCTCTATACCCAAAGCCCACAAACAAGCCTTAAAAACACTGGAGAACTGAGACCGAGTTAAGACTGACCCATTTGTGTGAAGCAAGAAGGACTCCGCTGCCTTCGGCCATAAACGCCCATATTCCCCTACCAGCGCCATTGGACACCACCTTCCCCCAGTAGCACCAATGCTAACCGACCTCCCATATCCTAACTGATCTGTTTTTGACCTCCGAATGAAAACCTCCAATCCACTCTGCCCTGAACAAACGTCCTCCCTCCGAAGAGATGCCGGAGCCCTAGCCGACGCGGCCACCAACACTCCTATCCGCAGCGTGGCGTAAAAGCACAGAGAAAAGGCCACCCAGAAAAGCAGCGCCTCGAAGGTGGAGAAGCACACCGCCAAGAGAACACCACACAGAGCATCCAATAGGTGGACGGACACTGGCTGCCTACAATCAGGAACACTTTCCTTCCTCCATCCCCAAAGCACCCTCTGGACCACAAACTATTTTGAAATGTCCTTCCACCCCATACAACGCATCAGAAAGGAAAGAGCCACTAAACTGCATTCCACCGATGCCACCGAAGCTGCGCGCTCCCGTAAGGAGGTCATGTAAGCCAAAGTAGACAGCAACCTACCCTCAGCGGAATACAAACCGAACTCTTCCGCATAGACAAGCCACCGATCCCACACTGCCCGATAGGCTGTCCACGAAGCGGGAGCCAGCGATCTCCCCCAAGCCCAAGGAGCCGGAGGCATCCGTGAACAACTCCAGGGCCACATTAGACAATCTGGATGGCGGCCTGGAACGGCAGGTATGACATCTTCTGGTGGGCCCTGACCCCTCCTGAGACTCCTGGGCGTCTTGGACACTGTGAAGCAGCGCAGCATATGACTCTGCGCCGTGGGTCCTCTGAAAGGCCTGCAGAATAGTAAGTAGAGCCTCTCTGGGCATGTCAGGGACATGAGCCGTGATGTTAAATATTAACTGGAGTGGCAAATTCTTTAACAGCAGTTTTAAATTACTAACAGCGGTTTTGCTTTTTTCAGGGTGACCAGAAACAGCACTGCTAGGTTCCCTCAGCGTGCTCTCCAGTGGTCTGGTAAGTATTACATTTCTTCCACTTCTACCATTGTCCTCGTTCTCGGGAACCTATACAATAGCTGAGCGTATAACAATGACTGACAGAACTGAGAAGGAGGCTCTTAGTTATAAAAAAAGGAGGTGTTGATAACTACATTTAAT